ATTATTTTTAATTAACTTATTATCCCATTCAAATAAATACCTAAAATAAAAAATGAATTACCCACCAACAATGAATCATTATTATAAGTAGTACCTATGGTAAAAAAATCAGTGTATTATTTGAGATTTATCATCATTTACCACCAGTTTTGGTAAATGACATCAATGGCCGGTGAAAGATGTACATTTGAATTTATAATCTGGTTTTTTACACCATTTACCTACATAATCAAATCATTTTGGTAATAGACGTCATTCACCGGAGAATGACGACATTCACCAATATTCATCTTTCACCGTAACATATACATTACTGTAAACCACGAATGCTGCAGCACAATATTATAATATACGATCGGCACGAGCGATAAAAATAACACGCTTTCAATACTAAATAAGTCGGCCGAGTATAAAACGACGTAATGTGTATTATAATATTGCCTATGTGCATATAATATTATAATGGCTGGTTGCAACCGAACGCATTAACCAGAGCATAAGTACTGTTTAAACTAGGTACGATACTATTGTATTACGACGATGATTATGTTATATAGGTACTAAACAACAAGTGTTATAAAATATGGCTCACACACAATAACTATATATGTATATATTATAAGCAAAGTGACAAAATCACGTTTTCGGTCATAAAACAACTCTTGATACCTATATATTTAATATTACTGTACACACTGAATTTCCTGCATAAACATTAACTCCAGGCGCTGTCGTTATAACTTATAATAGCTGCCTAATATCCTAGGATCTATATCATTATATAGTCTATAATCGATTAAGACGTGATTATGACAATTTTCGAATTTTTCAGAATTCCTGTTAATTCAAACTCATACGTAGAGATACGCAATTAAAATGATTGCTTCCTTACTCCAAATAACAGAAAAAAAAGTTTTTTCGGTCGAAAACCAAAACATGAGGGAATTGATTAAAAACAGATGTGAAAATTACACGAAAGACTCAATGCGCGATAGTTAATACATAGTTTTATATGTTAAAAGAATGGTGAGCTTATAAAATATAACCAACCTAAAATATTGATGAAAAAAGAAGTTTTCAATTTCTAAATTAAGTTACTTATTGTATCAGTAATTATTTTCATAGAGCCTTTATTTTGATTAAAGTTGACCATTTGACCCATTCAAATTATTTTACGTTTGCATTTTATAGGTTTATATCTGAATTCTGAATTGAATATACATCATATTTTGCAAAAAATATCGCCTCTCAATTAAAACTTATTTTAAAAATGTTTTTAAAATAATCGTATTATCTTCTAACCAATGTATTAGGTAGCTATAGTATGGTTTATAATATTGTTTAAGAAAATAAAACTTAATTAGCCTTTTATAGTCTTTGAGTTCATAATATTTAACACGATATCATAATATGTTGAAATAGCCGTATAAAAATCGTAATATAGTAAGAAGCTATCTGTAACAGATTGTTTCCTTTTTGCCCAACAAAGTAACTAGAGATCTGATACTTATATGAGGGTGACGAAAAATGTGTAATAACCACAAATATTTTTACAATTTTGCTGACTTAAGATATTATACTGTAAATGTTATTATATTATATATTGTAAATATTTGATTTGAAAAACTTTAATAGTTGCCCTCGGTCTCAAAAATCTCGTACCGGTACTTTAAGTATAATAATACTCACATACTAGAATACTCCCGTTTTTATTTATTAGTGGTACTACTATATAAACCAAAATAATTGAACTTGTTAATTTCATTGCAATTTCTCATATTCGTTTAGTGGACTATACTTTTTGTACTTCCAACCACCCAATTTGGGTTAGACTCCCAGCAGTTAGAATAAATCATGTAACGTGTGTAAAATATAAATATAATTTGATTATGCATCATATTTAATTTTTCAGTGACTTTAATGTATAGGCTACCTTTACAATAGTTCGATTACAAAAGTCAGTCGTCATACAAAAGATATTTTGCAAAATAAGAATACTGTTGTAGAGAAACCTAGCTTAAATTGTAATAGTAATAAAGTGACTTTTCTGCACATCTTGGTCTTGTACTAAGTAAATTCAGATAAAATACAAATATAAAACAACACAAAATGGTTGATTTCCTTCTTGAAATAATATTTAGAAATGATTCGAAACGATTCGAATTAAATGAAAACACATTAATCACTTCACGACTATTGAATCGAATTGAGTTTTAAATTACTACATATTATCCAATGTCGATAAATTAACTGAATTTCAATACCTTTATGATTAAAAAGTTCAAATCTAATATAATTGCATACCAAAAAAAAATTCTGATTAAGTGTACTAAATGCTAATACAATATCCAATCGTAATAATATTATATATGATATGTTAATACGTTCAATACGCTCAAGGATTTGATTTTAATTCTGTTTTTTTTTTATTCCAGCGGAAATCACCGATATCAAATTCTTATGTCTAAACGGGACGGTATTCGATCAGGAGACCAGAGTATGCGAACGTTTGGACGAAGTAGATTGCAGCAGGAGCGAAAGTTTCTTCGATCTTAACTTGGAGCTGTACGGAAACAACGGAGCGGGCTATGGGTAAATAATTGCAACATATTACTGCAATAAACGAATCTATAACATAAATAAGGTGCACAGAAATTAAGTCGTATAAGTGCGAGTGAATAATTTTTAATGAAAGATTGTTTAATAAAGCTTAAATATTCGAAGGTATATAATTATTATCGTACGAAAATTATTTTGGGTCCATTCGAAAATCTGTACAACAGGTTTATACGTTCAATTTTTGAGGTTGCGTTTTTTATTATAATGCCGCGATAAAATTATCATACAAGTTATCTGCGTGAATAAGTTGTTTGCCCTGGTCGTTTTTACCATTTTGTTTGATACTTTATCAATAAAATAAATGAAATATTATCCAACAATGTAATATCATATGCCCACTGGGCATTAAAATATGTGCATACCATCGATAGGCGGTACGTTGAAATGTGCCATATTATTATATTATATGTTATTATATAATTATAAAATATATCTCCTTAGTACATACAAATGTATTTACTTGATGAGCTGATTTTCTTAAATATTAATACAAATAATTATAGTATAGAATATTGTTATTTCAATTTTACAATTTTTTATTATTTTATTCAATAACCATAATAATATGGAAACTTTCAAAATTTGACTTGCACTAAGTAGTGTAATTTGCCAATTTAGTATGTTGTATCAATGTTCGTCGTTTTGACACAGCGTGTATTACGACATCATATAATAAGCACTTACTTAGTGTACCAAACACATTTAAAGAAATGATAATAATAATTTAAAATAAAAACAAAATGTATTTGCACAATATTATAGTCGTGCTGCACTGCCTTATTAGTTATTACTTATTCAGTAAATTCAATTGATTTTTTTGTTTGATCAAAATCCATATATTGTCTATTCGTGAGGTATTGTAAATAATAATGAATTAATTAAGTGTCACAAAGACATAGTATGTAATTTTATTCTAAATATTTCGGCTCATTGGCTATTTAATATTTACATAAAAATGTAGTATATTTCTGATACCTACATGCGTTATGAATACTAATCTTTAATTAATTAGTTGTAAGTAGTCTATTAATAATTTACAAAAAAAAATTATGGTTATAAATTATAATTGATTTGGTTTGTCGATATCTTGTAAATTTGTTAAAATAATTAATGAAAAAATTAAGTAAATCAAAAACGATAAGTGACTGAAATGAAGTTGAAAAGTAAAAATCACAAAAACCGACATTTCTCTCGATTATATTATATTATATTACTACATTATCTCCCATACATATATTCATGTGGCGAATTCTTTCAGAATTGCACCGGAAGAACCACCGGAACAGGAACCGGTGCAGTGTAACGTAGACGAAGAAGAGTGTTCCGGGACGCCCGACTACTTCGACGAGGAAATGACAACGGTCTCAGGGCCAATAGGAGCGCTGGCGGCCACGGCCGCGGTCGCTGCAATGACGACGACCACCACGACGACCACTAGCACCACGACCACAACGCCACGGACAACCACGACAAGCGCGGCCACGAGCACCAAGCGTCCATCGCAGCCGATAGTGATGACTAGCACGCCAAAACCGACGCAGCAGCCGGCTGTCTCGTATCCGACAAACTCGCCAGAAACGATAGCGGCTCTGATAGCACTGCACAACGCTTTCCAGGAGAGCCTCAAAGAACGGGAACAAGGGCCTGGGCCCAAGGGGCAGCAGTCCCACCACAGGTACCATCCACCGCCGCCGCCGCCACCTCAACAGCAGCAGCCCAAACCGTTTACGGTGTCCAACTTCCAACCACCTCGACACTTCCCGTCCAAGGCGCCGCAGCAACATCTGCAACAGCAACAGCAGCAACTGCAACAGCAACACCAACAGCAACAACAACAGCAGCAGCAGCATCAGCAGCATCATCTGCAACATCAACAGCAGCAGCAGCCACCGCCACCGCCGTACCGACATCAGCAGCAACATCTGCAACAGTCCCAACAACAACAGCAGCAGCAGCAGCATCCGGTCTTGTTGTCGTCTGAGCGGTTCGGAAACCAAAACTTCCGGCACGGCTTCCGGTTGCAAAACGGACCGCTGCCGCCCGTGGACGAATCGCCGCCTCCGTCGTCGTACCAGCAGCAGCAGTACAACGGAGACGGTGCACAGTACGACGGTAACTATGACGAAGCGGTCGCGGCCGTCGGACTGGGTGACGAAGAGGACGTGGACGACGAAGAGTCCCGGCGGAACTTCGCTCGCGAAGCTCCCGAATCGTCGGTCTCGGTTTCAGTGCAGGTTAGCTCGTCGTCGACCAAAAACAGTGCCATCAACCAGCAGCAACAGCAACAGCAACAGCAACAGCAACGGCCGACGCAGGTGGCTGTCGTCGCCTCAGAATCCGCGACGCCGACCGCGACCACGACGACGACCACGACGGCCACGGCCACGGCGGCCGATCGCCCGTTCACGGACAAGTTGTCACTGCCGCAGCCTCCTCCAGCGGACGACTCCGACCCGAACGACGGCGGAGATGTGTACGAGGACGAGTACGAAGAGTTGGAAGGCGACGAAGAGTTCTTCAAGGACGTGCCAAAACTGGGTCAGGACAGGAGACGGAGATACGCAGTGGGCGTCGCCAGACGAGCGTAGCGATATGTTTATGATAATAACAATATTATCGTTATCGTTTCCAACAGTACGACGCGGGAACGGCCGCCAAAACCACCGCGAGACGATCGAACGCAGTTCAAAATGTTTTTGCTCAATAGTTTTGCGTCTGTTGTTATGATCACGACTATACTATACGCGAATACGGCCATTTTTTTTTCTTCTCATCGTCGTTCGTAAATGCTTTTACACCGACGTACCTGAATCCTACTGCTCCTGCTCCTCCTACTCCTCCTCTCCTTCTCTCTCTGCCACCCTCACTTCCTATTCCACCTCGTCCTACACTCGAGTAAGGAAAATGTAAAAGTGATTTTTTTTTTGTTTTTATTTTTTTTTACCAACATACTGTATTTATAACTTACACGATTTTTTTACGAATATGCCAATAATGGTTATAATAATATTATTATTATCAATTATTATTTTTGCAATAATTCTGCAGGCAATGTAAAAGAATATGTCCCTTGCTATTCCTGTATAATTGTAGGGTATAATCAGGACTCGGGACTATGAGCACTCGCGTCTGAGGTGTAGTACCGCTACTGGTGTATCAGTTTTGGGTAATACGTACCATTTTTAAAATTGTGCAGAATCATTTATTGTTATATTAATACTATTTTTTTTTTTTTTTGTCACGGTTATGTTTTGAATGGAATATTTTTCTAGACACTATCAAACCGGTGGTATTAATTATTTATCATAATTTTAATAGATATACTAATGTAAGTACCTAAATATTTACATTAAAAAAAATATCAAGTTTGAGATAAAGCATACAGTTATATGTATTTAAGTAATATACAAATATTTAAATAAGCGCTCAAGTCCCGACCCATGATTATGATATTACGATATCACGCTTGCTTACGTCTGTCGTGAGCGATATCTTTTTTTCTCTTTTTTATGCTTGAGGGGAGGAACGATTTAATTTTGTATACTATTATATAAATTAATAATTAAAATGATATTGTACGATTGAAATACATGTTTCTTTTACACGCAACACAATACGGATATTTAAATAAAAGAATCTATTTATATAAAATAGGTTTGTAATATTATTCCGAGTTAACCAAGTATAATATTTATGAATACGTCGTATACGCATATAATAATATAGTATTATATTGTAATTTTTTTACACTTGAAAACATAACAATATCATATAATATATATTATGTTATCGATGATTATTAATTTTGTGTCTTTCCTCACATATGATAGGTAATCTAGACTGATATATGTTATTATTATTGTACTCGGATTATTGTGTTTAGTTTTACGGAAAGCGTGTAATATACGAAATTAAAATTGTTTAATCATTTTTAGTATAACGTTATGCTTTTATATTTATTTCCACCTATGTCGATATTTTGGTTATTGTGCACAATATTTTGTACGCACATGAACGGATCGAAAAAAATCCAACAATTTCCATATAGTGAAGTGTAATACCAATGCAATTAAGTCCACGGTGTGATCATATAATAGAAAAACAATAATGTAACATAAACAACATAAATTACACCGAATTCATCAGCGAAGGTAAGAGCGTCATTATTGGGATGTACATTTTTCGCTAAGCGATTTTAAGTAATGTGCCAATTAACATATTATATAGTTTTTGTTAAATGGTTGTATTCTTGAAATATATTACTCGCCATCAGAAAAATAAACTAAATAATATGCTTAATACAAATAATCATGATATTATTTGAATTAACAATTGTAGGTATTATAAACAACTGTTTAAAAATACATTTTATAAATTTTTGTTTCAATAAATTTAATTTCACACATAAAATATGCATTACCGATTGGTAAAAGCCCAGGCATACTTGTACTGTTGACGCCTGGTGTGATACCAGTGAAAATTTGTGAATTTCAAAGTATCTTTTGAGAGCTCAAACACATTTTTTATTATTAAAGCAACTATGATATATTTATATATAACAAATTAACAACCGTCAACCATACTGACATAGGTGTCTTACATTTTATTAGGACAAAAATACTCAAAGATTAACTTTAATCAAGATAACATTCATACAATTTAAACAAATAATAATGTTTATTTTGTAAATAATTTTTCCTTTTGTTCATAGAACATAATATAATACGTCACAGTATTCATAAATAACAGAAAATTAATATTAAAAAGATAAAATTAAGATTATATGAGTTAGTATTTGCAACCCCCGATATGCTTAAGCTTGAAATAGAGGGGTTTTTTTAAATAGTTCACAAAAACACTAATTGTTATTACTAGTTAATGCCTAGCAAAATCTCTTACTATGGCGGTATATACTCGACAGTCGATACCTATTACAGTATTATACAGGAACAAATGTACATTACTACAATATATCAGACTATAAGAGTGACTTTCACTGTTTTTTTATGTGGACACTATTTTACTTCATTCTTTCAATGTAGAACAAAATGTCGCTGATTATCAGTTTTCCAAACCCAATCTATATAGTTTAGGATCGGATCTTCGGATCTTATCTTACATCCATTGACTATTCTATTCTTTTATTTCAGCATTAAAATTTATTTTTGTACCTACAAGACGAGCAACAGCGGATAGCACATTTTAATACAAAATATATACTTCGTATGTAATATTAAATATTTGTTATAAAATAACCAATTATTTACGAAATTAAATACTTTCAAAAACTAAAATTTTAAAAAGTTGAAGTAAAATATTACAATCATAAAATTCTTATAATTTGCTTTTAAATTAAAATATTTATAAAATCCTATGAAGTGTCCTGAATAATATTTTACCTTTAAGTGTTATAATAGGTTAATTTACTCTAATATCAAAAAATTAGGATTTGCTACCTACAGAAAGAAAACAAAATAGTGCAATAACACATCATAAAATAGTATTATTATCTACAAAATACAGCAGTTACCTATCCAGCTATATTCTACCGGCCGGTGAATGAAAAATGAATAATCTCTTATTATATTTGACGAATAATTATTATCAAATAGAGAATTTTAAGAAGCGAGCATCTGTGCTACCTTAATATTATCTTGAAATATATCATACTACACACTCAATAAATAACAAAATATGCACAAAAAAAGTTGTCTAAAGTTAATTTCAAAATAAATAATTTTTTGAAGGTACCTATTATAAAATATTTGTTGTGACTAAAGTGATGAAAAAACAATCGATACAAACTGTAGGTAATAACAAGCGATATGGGAATTATAGTTAAACAAAGTATACCCAAGAACGACTCGATTTAATAAAAAATAAGGGCAAAATTATATTTTTACATGATAGAAAAATGGTAAATTCATAAAATATTATTATTATCTAGAGTCCTATAATATATTTAATAAAAATAAATTTTAGCTTACTTATTTTTCTAGGTAATTTATTTTTATTATAATTAACTATTTTAACTTACATACATATAAACTGGTTTATATCTTTATTTGGATATCTAGTATACACTATATCCATTATACAAGACAAATAAAATATAGATATTGTTAAATAAACTATATATTAAATAGTTATTTAAGTATAGTTAGATATTATAAGTATCCTTTAAATTTAACTTATAATACAAATATTTATAGCAAAACTAGGTACCTATAAATAATAACTTAAGAGACACCGATATTTGTTTTTCTAATAAAGGTTTTTATTTATTTATAGGACAGTTTGAATGGATGATATAATATTATGTAATGAAAAAGTGTAAATATTGCAAAAAAAGTTTGTAAATTACTTTAATATTTCTTACATTAAGTATTTTTAAAAACCTCTAACTTTATTATAATGCATTGGTGATGCAAGTGTATATTTTATACAATATACTGCAGTTCTCGGTTAAACAGTCATACACTCATACATGTACATACATACATACATACATACATACATACATACATACATACATACATATATATATACATACATACATACATACATACATACATACATACATACATACATACATACATACATACATACATACATACATACATACATACATACATACATACATACATACATACATACATACATACATACATACATACATACATACATACATACATACATACACACATACATAGATTCATTATATATTATGTCCGTTTACTGTATAGTAAAATAGATTATCATTTTAGATTGTCATTATTATAAATAGATATTCTCTATAGTTTCCTAATATTTTGTATGAATTATATTAAAGGGTAGGCATATATCGATCTATCGAAGTTGAAATATGTAAGATACAAAAATGTAAGTACCTACCTATACATAATAAATTTCACCACCAATACAAGTCCATAATAATTACACCACCATACGCTCTACATATTCACTGACATTTAAAAAAATATATATTATAATATCAAATACTAAAAAATCGATTACCTGATAATAATCACGTTCTACATTGCCTGTTAAGATATTTTAGCCTTCGAAGAAAATGCCATGCACCCAGACAATATTATGTACTTATATAGGTATGCATTTTCGTACTTCACAGTTAAAATTGGATAGGCGTACCGTATTATATTATTTTGTGCACAACGACAGAATATTTTATCAAACTCTCACTGGTGATGACATGTACGCACGAATAAATACTCAACGTGTGATATGATATAGTTATGGTATACCTGGTATATACGTATATACTGGTATGACATGTCCAATTTTGAATTTAAAACAAATATCAAATCATAATAAATAATGGGAATAGATATTATATTATATTCGCATATAATATTTCGGTTAGTAACGATGTGGTCCGATGTGGCCAAGCAATTCCGTGTTTCCCAGTAAAATTATAGAAAAGACGCCGTATTGTCTTACCTCTAACTATTATGTTGTTATGTGTCGTAAAGGCGCGATTGGACGTGCGATTACAGTAATAGTGTGCTAATTCTTCGTTAATGCGCTACAATGTTTTCGAAAATGTCATTTTTGCCGGTCTCTGGTAATTAAGGTAGGCCCCTAATGTCCCCTACTGCCAAATCGACCGTTTGCAAACGACGATACCCGTGAACGTCTGCTATATAAACCCAGGACCTCAGTCAAAAAGGCACATCACTCCTTCAGTCGTCTCTTCGAACACACGCACCTGAACGAGTCTCCGCAGTCAGACATCACTCGACAAACGCTCGACAAACCGTCCACACTCGACAAAACTTCAACAACAACATGTACAAGTAAGGCTTAATTGTTATTATTATTATCATTATAATTGCCGATCAAAATTTCGCAACTATACGCATATATTGTCGTCGAATTCAAATCGAATGTTTTCGGCAAAATATATATTTTACTAGTTGTCAAGTTCAAGCACATCGACACACCACGATTTTTGTGATCTGGCTGACGAAACGTGTTGTATACTAAACGATCGAAGTGGTGTGCCGTAAAAAATCGAATAATTTATTATATTATTGACTATTTCATGTAACCATCATATAAAAGTATAATAACAAAACAATTTGTCACCGTTTACAGGTACACAGTCATGATGATCGCAGCGGTGGTTGTTGTATTGGCGTCCGTTCCGGCCACCTCCGCCCAAGCAGCGGCCAACAAATTCAACCCAATGTCAGCCGCGGCCACATCCGTACACAGCAAGCATGTCAAGAATGAGAACCGTCAAATTTTCGCTTCCGAGGCCTATAACGAACAGTCGAACAATGTCGGCAGCCAACTGTTGTCCGGACTACTTGAGGCGATTAGTATCCCGAAGAAGATCGCCAGCGCCTTGATCAGCAAAGTGTCCGATCTCCTTAAGTCGGTGGATCTGAGAAAACTCATCAAGATCGCTTTGATTGGTGGTGCTGTGATCGTGTTGGGAGCTGTGGCCGCAGCCGGCGTTGCTGGTATCGCCGCCGTGGTGGCGTTGGTGAGCGCCGCGCTCCCGTACTTCCGGTTCTTCTTCGGCGGACACAAGGGCGAGGCATCCGAATCAGAGATTGACGTCATCAGCGAATTCGTTTTGAACGCATTCAACAAGTACGACAGCCAGCACAAGGCGTAATGATGCAACTCGTCGCATTAATATTATATGTAATTAACCGTCCGGTTTTATTTATTGTACATTTAACGAAGCGCTGATAATGGCTCACCTATATTTATATTATTTATATATTATTATTTTTCGAGTATGGTAATAAACAAAAATATCCTACTCTTATATGTGGCACACTCGTCTTATGACTTATTACCTAAATATTATTATATTCTATTACGTGTACACGTACTTAATATACCATCGTATTTATCTGTGCTCACTGCTCAGTACGAAGACGCATAGTAACGAGCGCAGTGCGAATCAAAAAAGAGTGTGACCCTGCTGCAAGCATTGAATGAGTTAGAACTTCGAACTTGTATGAATATGTTCTCTTTAAGCATTTTGTTCAAAAAATGAAATTCAATTTAACTTTAAACTTTAACTTCAACGATAAAAAGTCTACTCTACTGTCTAGTGGGTCACTAAATTGGATGGTTTTAAATTTGAATTCAATGATATCATATCATTGTATAAAAAAAAATATTCTGGGAGGAGACTGTCTGTCACTCAGCTTATATTATAATATAATATTTTTAAATTACAAAAATAACTAAAATCATTATTCTTCTTTTAAATATGTTATTTTGTTTAAATTTGAACAATTTAAAATGTCTGTAAAAAAAAGGTGTTAGTATAAATACAATGTGTATAAATAACTCAAAACGAACAAAAATATTTTTATAAATTGATTGATACCTATACAATAAATTAATTTTACTGTGGAAAGAAAATGATAAAATGTGGTAATTTAAGTACCTACGGTTAATATTTTTTACACAAAATAAGAAATAATAATTACATTTGTTGTTTTAAGGGTGATAACTAATGTCTGACTTCAAAAAACACTCATAAAAAAATTGTTTAATTTTGATACATTTTTTTGTTTGTTAAAAGTAGAAAAACTTGTGGGAAATCTTGTATTATATTTTCAAAGTTTTGATATGCATAAAAAAAAATTGTAGAAATTTCTAACTAAAAATAATTATCAAATGTTCGTGATCTTGATACATTCTGTGAAACTTCTACCTTTGGAGGCTTATAAAAAATTACTGTGGACTTACGCTCAACTTTTTTTAAAATTTATATTAAAAACAATTTATATGAAACCCTATATCGTTATAAAAATCAATTCATACATAACTCTGCTCAGAATCTATAACTATTTAATTCAAAGATAGTTTATTAGTACATTGTATCTATATAGTAATATTGATTTTACTAAATTTAATGTACTATAAAAATAAAAGTGGATGTCGATCTGCTGTAGCTTTAGAAAAAAAGGTTTAACTTGAAATAAGAGTGCAAATTGTATATATAAATATTATATTTAGGGATCGATGGTGGATATGATGGACATATTATTCCAAGTATGAATAATTTGATTTTCCACCTCAGCATCTTTTCAAGTACGAAAGTGAATCTAGATGGTATACTTTGAGGGGTCAAAAGTAAAAAAGCAGGTTAGTAGATGTTACTCTGTTGTACATAAGGTGTCTAGAAGGTCGATATAATGAATGGTATTAAATTTAAATTCAATGATATGATATCATTGAATACGAAAAACGATTCTAAGCGTAGAGAGTATGTCAGTTTAGGATATTTTATATTGTTATAACTTATTATTAATATGGTAGCCGATAAGTTGCATTCATTGTATTCATAATATTATTCTTAAATTATCAGTGATGCTGGAAAAATATTAAATATACTTATGTACAATTGGGCTGTTTTGGAACCGAACTACAACAAAATGACAAAATATATAATTTTGTCCAAATTTAAACTTAAAATATCTGTAAAAAATAACTGTATTTATATATTTTTTAGATTTTATAGTTATGGAAAAACTTCATGAACTTTATGGAACCTCGTTTTAAATTTTCAATCCTTAGCTTTAAAAATTAAAATTGTATAAGTTATTATCACTACAAAAGCATTTAAAATTTTCAATTTGATGAATATTGTCAAAATTTGAACTTTCAATGCTTATACAAAAAAAAAATAGGACCTATGTATTTTTAATATTTTTCTACTGCTATTGTAACAATATAATATCAAGAGTCTTGTATTAAATTGTCATGCTTTTTGATCCAACCAATAACATTTTATTGACATTTATAAACAAAAAAATAAAAATAAAAAAATGAAAATTGAAAATGTCAGTCAACAACTTAAAACGAGGCAAAATATTTTGAAAATGTTATCAAGAATATGAATTTATGAAATAAATATATAATTTAAATTTAAAATGACTTCAGTAATTTGTTTTTGAATTACAATAAAATAAGAAAATCTTCACATGTGAAATCGAGTGAATATGCAATGTTGTAAAAATTTCTATTTCAAACTCTCATAAAAATTTTATTTGATTTTCTGGTAGACAAACTTTTGAAAAATTTCCTATCAAATTTTTAAATCATAGATACAAAAAGAAAAATTCTTATGAATTTCTAACTCAAAATAATTTTTACAAATGTTATCGAAATTCTAAGCTTAAACGCTCATAAAAGCTTATTGTGGATTTATAACAACTTACGAGAAACCTTATTTTACATTTACAAGTTTTTTTACTAAACAAAAAATGTTTTATCGACATTGGATTAAAAAAAAATCAAATAATAATTGAAAATTGCGTATGCCTATAAATAGTTCCACACGAGTCAAAATATTTTGATATTTTAATTATATTCATAATTATTTTATAATGTATAGAAAATGCTAACACAAACATTCAGTAAAAATTTCAAGTATCCACTGTAATTTTTTTTATAGTTACACTAAAAACCAATATCGATTTTTTCGAAAACTGGTCTTGCGTAAGAATTCCCGTTTTTTCTTAACTGTTTGTTTTTCCTGTCGCTTTTGAAAACTATTAGGAATTTTAAATTTCGACCTCCCGAATACACCAACTTGATTCACTTTCCTACCAAAAAAGTTGCTGTTGAAGAAAATCGAAGCACTTTGACTGCCTCCAAATCATGATGACATACAAAAGCAAAAAGAAAACTAAATAAATAAAAAACCCACATCATTGTATAATCAAAACATTCATCGCTCCACTCATCTAACCACAATTGGTCAAGCTTATTACTGACAGAACATTTTGGAATACTGTGAAGTGTTAAAAATGAGGATGCACTATTAAATACGTTCAGTGTGGTTGACTCGTAGTTTAAAATTGAAATGCAACATGTAAAATTCAATAATTAAATTGTTTAATATAATGTAATAGATAATAAATATTTAATGTAAAATACACATAATCAATATATTTGACGATTATGGCCTTTTTTGTGAGGCACTTGTCCAAGTCATGGTTTTCTAAAAAGTTTTAAAGAACACGTTTGATTCTCTCGCCCAATTGTACATATTTTTTATTTCGTTTAATCCCTTCTAAATTTAATTCGATGGTCACTTTCTGCTGCTGATGTCTTCAGTTTTTCAATTAAAACCTAAATACTCGGGTGCGATCTTCCCACTAGTGTTGAAATTTATGATCCCATTCTTCAAAATATTTATTTTGCGAATAGCAAGAATGACATAAAATGAATTTAGAATCCTAGTTTGAACACTCGCGTGACACTCTTTTCCCCTCAAAATCAAAATTACATAAATGGTATATGAAACACTATTTTTGATCCCTAACCTACGAAATTTTGACATTTTGAAAGTTTTTTTTCAAATATGTTTGTTTTTACCCATATATGTATATTATACATTTTAAATTACTGAAATTACAATTACTGCATGTGAAATTGTGAAAGTTTCTAATCAACGTTTCGTTGGAATATTATTATATTATCTAATTATTATTGATTATTTTTCATTCTCTGTGAAATTTTAATTCGTTTTATCATAATGTATTAATGTGTTTATAACTAGGTACCTATATATAGGTATAACTGATATCTAGCAATGTGTTAATAATATTTTAATTCATTTTTAAATTATAGATCACTATTAACATTATAATAACTACTTAGTTATAGGTAAATATTTGTTAAAGTAAACTGTATTCCTATTAGGTAATAATTTGACTATAACTGCGTATAATGTAATATTATAATATTATAAGTGCTTGCATCTCATAATGTTCGTTACATTTTATATTTTAATAATATTTTTTTTTCATTATAAAACATTTCAAATAATTTTATAGTTTTAACATAATATTAAATAAAATAATTACAAATTACCAATGTTTGTAAAAATAAACTTCTTTGAAAAAAACAACAAAATAAATGTTAGTACAATGTTAAAATATTTCACTATTTCATATTTCATTAAATATTTAAATGTCCCAACACGAATTATTATGCTTGTTTATTTTATTTAACACTGTTAAATATTTTTTGAATTGTAAACTTAATTAAATAAATAACAGTTAGGAAGTTCGGTACAACGAATATTGTTTCAGTGTTTTCACTTGAAACTAAAGATCACAGAAAGTCCAAGGTAAGTTTCTTTATACACTACGTAGCATAATCATATTATATTTACAATTAAATTAAATTATATTATAATATTATCTGTATACATAAAAGAGACTGTCCTGAGGGTCTGATTCATAATCAACGCAAAGTCAAACCTATTAGAGCTATCAATTTAAAATTTTGAGTGTAGATTAATATTATAATTTCTTTCCCGCTCCACTAAGAATGGATTTTTCAAAATTTTGATTTTCAAGGATTGAAATCGGCATATCAATATTATTGTATTATATTATTTATATATATATATATATATATATAATTATATAAATGAATGTATGTCTGTCCTTTGTGCCTGCCTAATTCGGTGAAATTTGTTGTATGTGTTTGAGTGGTTCCCTGGATGATTTAGACTTACAATTGGACACAGTAGGTCCGACCCGGAGTCCGGAGAGGTACTCAAACAGAGATTTTGAGATTAACGAAGGTAATTTTTGTTTATAAAGAGTTGTTATTAATTAAAAGAGAAATATACATATATTTATTAGACATTTTTATTTTATTTGTTTATTGATTGCCCGGGGAACTTGACCCTCCTGGGAAAAAAATATGAATTTATAGTGCAATAAATATTACCATGATATTTCTTAATTGCCAAAACAAATTATTTTTCAAAATTACTTTTATGATATGAAATAAGTATAAAAATACACAATTTTTTTTTCTATACTTCCTAAATTTTTTTTATTTGGCTCTCCTTAAAATTGTACGTATGCATCAAATTGAATTTTCGCACAATGCCTACCAAGGGGGCTGAGTTGCACTTGTATACGCTCATTGGCATGCCCGCAATCAAAATAAAACATATAATTCATATAAGACACCCATGTACCGAGTGGGGTCCATAAGCCACCGCAGGTGGATTGCCTACCTGATAGTACCTATATTATAACTCATATTATCACAAGCAAGTCTCATATAGAGTTGACATTTTTAAAGGGTAACTTAGTCCACGGGATCAGCACGTTGTTATGAAAATTAATACTATTATTTAAGTAACTATTATTACTACATTTAAAATATAACAAATATTTAACAATATATGCTGAATAAATCCTTATCAATCATAAATATAATTTTATACATAGAATTATTTATTAGGTATTAGATTTGACATATGACATAGATTTTATGAAACAAAAAACGTATTGAGCTGATAACTTTTTTATGAACCCGGCAATTTGTCTTTGCATAATTTGTACAATTAATTAACCAATCTACTCTTTTTGTAAGTACACTAAAACCTATATTATGAAATTTGTTATTTTCGTTGAAAAGCTTGGTTATATGTATTTTTGTTACCTATTTAATATTTAAATATTGTAGAAAAATAATGTTAAACACGTTGTCGATTTTTTCTATTAATATTCATCAAAATGTTTACATAATATAATAGAACATTACGATTTACGGCCCTAATATACTATGTTGAAATTATGTTATATTTATTTGACAAAAACAATATTTTAAAATTTACCAAGATTTAATCCATTGCTATTTTAAAATCATCAGTAATCACGTTTCTAAGTTTTATGTCTAGTAACATAATCCATATAATTAATATTCATATAAAAGGTATTGTTTGTGTGTGTATAACTGTATAAGCGATTCACTGCCAAATCTATCGAACTCATAGTTTTCGAATTTAGTACATAGGTACTTATAAGTACCCGAGGATGTACACCTTTGAATTTTTCATTTTAAGAAGAACTCATTCAAAAAATTCTTGGCTCAAGTTTTTTTGTTGGTTCTAAAAGTTTATCCATTTGTTAAGGAAAATAAAATAGTTATTAAAATTGAATATAATTTTAGACCAGTATTTTAAATTTGGCCGAAATGGTAGTATTAAAAATGTGTATAAGTAACTTACATTTAACGGAGCTTAAGACAGAATAAATTCACTGCATTATTTAACTAGTCGCGAGTTACGCCGTGCATCATTAGGTATAATTAATAAATACACATCCAGGTAATTGGTATATTGTACAATATAATATACCTACTCAATTATGGTACTATATAAAATCAAAAGGATGGTTCAAGACCCATAGTTTTCGACTGATTTTCATCAAATTTTCATCAATATACTCGGAAAGGTATATGCGGTGAGAGACTTTTTTACTTTTAACGTAATAATGTTAAATTTAGTTACCTAACTTGTGAAAGGCTATCGTTTTTTTTTTTGTACAGTATATTATATTATTATTCTATAGGTATTGTTGGCATTTTTTTTTTTTTTTGGATTAAGGATTCAACTACTAAGGCTGGTACTGTGTGGGGGGGACGATTAGTTGGAACACGTTTGTATGTGTGGCAAGGATATGTTGCTAAAAACCCGGATAGTCCCCCATCCGAGTGCTAACAACGCCAGCCCGTACGTACGCTCAGAGCGTTGCCGCAGATTGAGCGTACAACCGTGCCTCACCAAAAGCCACTGTTGGTATTTATTACAGAAAATAAAATAGTTATTATGATTGGATATAATTTTAGACCTGTATTTATATGGTCAAAACCACCCAAAATTTTTGAGTTGTGTTAGAAATGTTTGGGAATTTTATTTGTCACGGTAAATGATGTGTTTGGTCAGTTAGTTAGTCATAACTCTATAACCTAGGTTAGCTAGTCATAACTCACAAAGTACAAACTAAACTACAGTTATATGTTACATCCGGCACACGGTGAAATGGGTTGTTTCCCTAATTTTTTTTGCACTTCTCGAGGAATAAAAAACTGATTCTATTTTGCTTAAACTTTCGTGAAACTGCCCATTTGTGCGGAAAGTGACATAAAATTGTGGTGAATACTGAATACATACTACCATTGATTTATAAATACTAGTATTTATATTCAATGATACTACATAATCGTTTCCAAATTATTCCTCTCGATATCATAATCACGCGTCTTGGGAGAAATACAAATATCTATTTAAAAATATTTACTATAATAATTAATTGTAATGTTATAGTAATTTGATAGAATATATTTTGGTTTCAACTCTTGACTATCTACTGTAATAGGCATCGAATTATAATAGTGAAATCGTACATGAAAACATTTTATTACCTTACTACCATTACCAGTTGTAATAGGTATTGCAACAGAATGCGTTTATGTTAATCATGTGTGAATTTTTCATTAATGCGATATAAACGATCGAAGTTTGGACAATTTCATTTACCAGTTACCAATTAATGCCATAGGGATCTTGAAAACCACTGGTGCGGTCATTGTGATTTCAAATTGACAAATTTAAAGCCTACCTACGCCGCCTATATATAATGTTCAGACCTCAGGTCGAAAAGGCACACTTCACTTGTCACTGCTTCGAATATCTTTACTCGAACGCCGCAACGACATCCAGAGACTCCTACAGAAATCGAACATAAGACACGATCGGCGAGTCCATCATCATGTCCAAGTGAGTGTTATTTGTTTTTGATAATTAGATGATACGATACGCATACGTCGCTGTCATGGCTTCTACTCGAATGTTAATCAGAAGTTTTGAAAATTTTAAACAAATAAAAGAGAACACTTATATACTGGCCTCTAAATTAGAGATCATATTAAAACTTTGATAATACATTTGCAAAATTTACCACTAAAATTCCGCTTAAAACATATCATCTTGTTACTTAATCTATATTAATATGTATTATGTATAGACCTATACTTATATTATTATATTATTATTATTGTACAAACACGTATAAGTTATAAGTTATATTATTTACATTTTTAGACTCAAATAATCGTTAACAATGTTTTTTAATGATATAATATTTAATTATATGGTCATCTGTTCGGAAATTCTATTTTTAACAAGTCCTCGTATATATAGTTAGATATACCTAACATAAAAATACTAAATACACTTAAGTTATTAGTTAATTCAGATTTTCTTTTATTTCTTGTTTTTAAACCCAATTTTTTAAGTAGTTGATTCTTTACATGTTGTATAAAAATATTTAATAACCAAGTAAACAAAAATATGTCAATAATCAGTTATTTTAAATGTCTTTACTTCAATATGCCATATTTAGCTTTAATAAATGTGCGTAACTGATTATGATTAAAATATTAAAAATTAAATACTAATTAGGTATTCATTATAATAGTATAATATTTTAATATATGTATACGTATTTTAAATTTATTATGTATTGTATTATTTATAGTTTTATAATGTTGCATGCCTTTAGGTAGTCATGCTTTGTTTAAAAGGCTTAAGCCTTAGATGATAAAATTACAAAAAAAAATAACAGTGGTCACAGATTATATTAAATAACGGCGAAATGACGAATAATCATAAAACGTATTAGTAATTAATCAACGCCCTTGCAGGTACACGGTGACGTTGTTGATCGCTGCAATGGCCGTGTCGACGTCGCTATCCGTCAGCATACCAGCTGCTGCAGTCGAACAACGACCGCAGGAACCGGCTGCGGACTCTAGCAACTTGGTAGTGCACAAGAAGCACGTCAAGCCTGACAAGATCGTGTTCTTGTCGGAGATTTTGTCGCCGCATGACGAGGGCGAGGGCGGTGGCAGCGGCTTACTGGAATTGGGACTATCCGGGCTAATGGAGGCGATCAGCGCGCCGAAGAAGATCATCGGCGCCATCTGCAGTTTCGTGATCGGCAAACTCAAGTCGTTGGACCTCAAGAAACTCGTCAAGATCAGTCTGCTGGCGGCCCTGGTGACCGTGCTGGGCGCCGTGGCCTCGGTGGCCGTAGCCGGTCTCGTGTCCATCGTGTCGGTGGTGTGCACCGTGCTGCCGTATCTGAAATTCGTGTTCGGCGGTCACCACCACAAAGACGAGTCCGCGTCCGAGTCACAGATCGACCTGGTCAGCGAGTTCGTGATGGGCGCGCTCGACAAGTACAAAGTCAAGCGCAAGGCGTGAGTCCAGGGCAGCCGCTGCACCGCTGACAACGCTCAATCGTTGTTTCGACAATACGGTTAACAGTTTATTTATTGTACACCTATCACGCCGATATCGTTAAACTTAGTATATTATAATATTATATATATATATATATGCGTTGTGTACTGCGTTACGTAGTATTGCGAACAATAAACTAAACATTATTTAACTTTTATGCATTCAATTAATAAAACAATTTCATATAATAAAACATAAGTATAATATATAATATATAATAAGCACTTTTGAACTTTTAATTTAGGATGTATATTTTATTAACATACACGATTAAAAATACAATATTGTGTAACGATTACACAAACATGAGCATATACTCATACTCGGTGTAAATATAAAAAGTTAAAAAGTTTATGCATCACTAAAGTTTTTGATGCACTATTTTTATTAAGTGATATTCTTGTAGTTTATTAATAAATTATTATTAAAGCAAGTAAATATCTAAATACAAATATCAAAACACTAAATTAAATTCAAAATCCAAACCGCAATATTTTAAACGATTTGTGATATAAATTAGGCACCTACTCTGGAAATCTGTGAATTTATTTGAAAAAAATGAAGTGCTGACTACTTAGTCCCCTCAAGCACGTAATTTGAACTGTTTAGGATTAGGACTTTGGGAGTAACGAAATCCCTTTACCCTGGAAAGCTTGATATATAATTGTTACGATGTTTATTTCCTTTCCTTCTTTAATATATACTAATCTACCACTATAAAAAGCACATGAATTTATCTATTATACCTATAATACCTATAATATCTATAATATCCACTTGTATACCTAATTTAATGAAGAATTACAAAGACTATAGCATTCAAAAACTTGACTACGGTGGTATACGGTACCCATATTGTAGGTACTGGTACATGTTTAACATAAATATGTTTTTGGACTGTATACACGTTTTTGGTTTCTGACCGATTTTTCGTAAGGTTTTCCTTGTCATGGTTACTTATTAACAAAAACATATTTATGATTCATAGACTTTTCTTTTAGACTAAAAATATTGAATAGCGTGCTATGGATTTTCTTTTTATTAATACTATAATTGTTTATTTATTCTTCAAGAAAATAATGCGGATTCCATTTGAAAAATGTTGTGTTCTTGTGTCAGAGTCATAGTTAAAATAATGGTACCTACATATAAAATGCTAAAATAAATTCAATTTAATAGTACTCGTCCAAGACAAATACTATTACGAATTACGTCATTTTAAAGATAAGACAATTTTCATTTGTAGATAGCATATTAAACCAACACAGAATTACGGTGAATAATATTATACTTACGGTGGATAGCATATTGGTCGAGTAAGTACCAATTTAATTAGGTAGGTAATTTATTTGTTGTTAAAATCAAAATTCAAAATCTAATATTTAAATTGATGGTATGCATATTATGTATATGTATATTAACGAAAATATACTGTTGGCCTCGCACGAGTCGCACGGGCTTTACGACAAAATCGTTCTGATCAGATGCACCAATCATACGCGGTACTGAGAAAATTTCATCCGCTGCTCGTGGCCAGCCTGCGAGCAGCTGCTGGATCTACGACGTACAATGTACATATTCAACGTACTACCGCTGCGGTCGTGGTGTCTATCGTTCCTCAGGTGAACGCGGTGGTAATAATTATTGGTTATAGTACGACGTGCTTGTGAATGTATGATATCAGTGGCGGAATTGAGAATAATTGCACGTTGCACGACGCCACGACGTATATCACTTCGCTCTGCCAGACGGTCTATTACGACTTTCCCGTCTACCACTCACCTCTCCTGTAGTGTGTACTCTGTTTTGTGGTTATTGCCAGCAGTGCGACTGTGCGAGAACGCAGAAACTCACGTTATTAATCAATTCTCATAAGTTCCGGATCTATTGTCGATCACCGGATGTCACAGTGGATGATAGTTCCCGACGGAAACGAATTAGCTTGACGTGAACGAACGGGTATGATGAACACGTTAATATTATTTCGTATACCTATAATGATAAGTTAGTGGCGCTTGCCATGTGGTTTATCGGCTACGATTACCCGGTGACCGGTGTAAATGTACATAGTATTGTAATATGGCCTTATGCCGGCGACTTTAGGTACGGAATATAATATGTCTGTATTTCACCGAAATCGTCACTTACTTTTGACACTTAAAATGTTGAAAATATAGTAAAATATGATTATACGCGTTTTGTAGTTTTCCAAATCAACCAATTCCGATTTAGTCGCACTTTCTAAGTTTAGGATAAGTAGCAATTGAAAAAAAAATAATAACTCTTGAAACAATGAGCAACTAGGTATTTGTTCAGAAAAAAATATGGTATTTGTGTAAATTTACACAAGTATGAAAAATAGAAACTTATCGATGCTATCGTTTTCAACAACATATTGTCGGCTTAATGACTTTTTTCTAATATTACCTTCCTTTTCTTATGTCAAATTAATTCATAAGTATCTGAAAACCACAATTAAATGCTATTTGTATTAAATATAATATATTATTTAATCATGCTTAGTATATTTATTTACTTTGGGAAGAGTATGGTCATACATTATGTATTTAAATTTTATTTTTTTAAGTTCTTTCACATCTTTATTTTTGCAGGTAATTATGTCATCGTATCGTACTTCGAAGACCAGTTCACATAACTCACGGCCACCAAGCACAAGTACCCCTACAATATTGAAAAAACGTAACACACAGTTAAATAATGTACCAAAACAAAAAGTACAATTCAATCTTATAGACAACTTGAAAGCGTTGCTTATTAGTTTTGATCAAAACAATGATAAAGAAAAACTTAAATACAATAACCTTATATGTGATATTAGGGATGCCGGTATTGAAATTAAGGTTAGTATTTTTTCATTTTTTTATAAATAAGTTAAGGTTTGGTAATTCTTATAATTATAATAAATAAACTATTAAACATTAAATCAATTATGAAACTTGAAATTTCAACCAGAGCCCTTTAAGTTTAAAAATACCAACGTCCAACAATCTTTATAACATTTTTAAACTAGTTAGGTAAGTCAGTACTTTCAAAGACAATGTTGGTTTTAAACATTTATAGTATAAATATATCTAAATTAAGAACATTTATATTATACATAATGTCAAAATGATGTAACGTGATAATACTGTGCATTCCATTAACTAGGTGGCCTTCTTGGCTTATCACAGAGTTCTTCAATTTGGCTTTGTGGTTAACTGAGCCAAAGAAACTACATACGTATTTGAATTAGATTTTTAATAGTTCAAATCTGCATTTATTTCGTACTAGTCTAATGACAAACTTCCCCCATTAGGAATCGTGTACACACTACTATTGTCATATTATAATATAATGTTATTTTATAAACTAAGACTACTGTTCAGCTCTGTAACAGATGGTTGTACAAAAATGATGCATTGGTTTCAAATGTTTAACGTAGAAGTTGCTAGAGTTACATATCTATTCAATGTGATATGAAACTATTATATTATAAATTTTAAGTAGCCAGTATTTTTGCCCTTTTTTTGAAGCATATTAAACTGCAAAAATTACTGTCGGTCTAAATTTTTGAAAAGTACCTTTTAACTTAATTAATCAAATAAGATATGAACAAACTACATCTGTGTATTTTAATATTTTATCCTCATGTACCAAGCACTTCGTAACTTGACTTAATATAGCTTCCATATATGGGCTTTTGATAATATTAGATACTTTAATTTTTAATTACAGTTAAAATAGTTATTATTATTAGGAAGGAAGCTAACCATTTACAAAACTAAGAGGTATTATAACTTTCAAATTATTTAATAAACAATTAAACTAATCTACCTATAACATTTTTTAAATGTGTAGACTGGTTGAATTTCATCTGATATCAATCAATTAAATTGTTTTATTTAAATATATCTGTAGTCTGTTCATGTATTTTAATTTAAATATTTGATAAAAACCATCAAAATATAAGATAATCAGACAGATATATAATATGAATCAACTAAATTCTTTTAAAAAGATAAAACCTCATACATGATCATGTTCGAAAGTTTTTGTAATCAAAAACTGATTTACAACCTAACTTGTAATATTTTTATCTGGTTCATCAAAGATGAATCTATTACAGATTACACCCATGCCCAAGAATTTATCCCAAATGAATAGTAGCTGCCTGATGCATATGAACTTGGTCAAGTATAATGGGGGTAAAGAAAACAACACGGGTCAAGATTATACAACATTAACAATTACCTAAGAGAGCCTTTTGGTGCATAAACAGGTGAGAATAAAAGGTAAAACTGGTATGCACAATCATTGAGAGAACTCTAAGCTCTACAAGAATTGAAGGACAAAATAAACATATTTGGGTTGTATAATCCAAACGAAAATAATGACTTTAATTAAAAGAGCTTAACCTCTCATAGTGCAAGTGGAAAAAAAACTTATTATGAATTTGTATCTGTTCATAAATCATAACTAAATATTATTGTTAATTACTCATTATACTGTAAAGGATAGAAAAAAAAGAAGTATAAAGAAAACCTTAATATTATGATGTATTAACCCAAATCTTTTCTAAAACTAATCTAATAAATTATATTAAAACCGGTCGGAAATTTATAATTTTCATTCAATAGAGTATGTATTTAAATATTTTACAGGATGCTGAACTTGTTGCACTATTAAAAGATGCCAGAAATTGTGTGAATATTTTAAATGAAAATCTTACACTTTTTGTTAAGGTTATATTGGTAAGAACATTTAATTATTATATTTTAAATTAAACCATTAATGTTGCGTTTTCATTAGATTTTAAAATGGATGAACAGGAGCGATGAAGTAGTCAATGAGTACCGTGGATTTCTACTTGATGTCTGTACTGCACACAACTATCACACAAAATTTGCAATAGAACAACTTGTAACATGTTTTTCTCATGGTAAATATAAAATGTTAAGCTAAATAATTAACAAATATTATATTTT